CCACTTTGAACTTATTCACCATTAAATCCGAACATGAAATAAAAAGGAGCGCTGTCTCACAATGCCATTCGCTTCGCGTAATCCTTCAAGTTCTTCTCCAATTATTAGCATTGGGCATGTAAAAGACTTTTGACTTTTGTTCCTTCAAGGGATTTCTTCCTTTCTATTGAATGTTTGTGGGACTAAAGAAAATGTTCACATTTGTATTTTTACAATTGTTTTGTACACGACAATAACAAGTTAAGAAAGGTCAAATGGTTCAGATTAAAAGGTCAACTGTGGATGGATGAACAGGCTCGATTATTTAGGTGATTGATGGAATAGATTGATATTTTACGCATTTTATAAGCTGTCATGTTCTGTTTCAATATCTATCTATCTATCTATCTATCTATCTATCTATCTATCTATCTATCCTAGTCTGTTCATTATCTATCTATCTATCTATCTATCTATCTATCTATCTATCTATCTATGTCGGTTCTAACATAATTAACATTAGAACATATAAAAATTTAACACAAAAGACGATGGACATAAGAGCACAACTAAGCCAAACAGATAACTGAAATTTTTACCCAAGATCAGCGTTCCTTTTAAATATGATCACGTTGTCGTCACGTGGGCGATGTTGTGAAAACGTATTCGAAGATGATTTCCAAATATTAAAATATTAAAAACAGTCGATTGAACTATTTTATATAAACATTATATTATTATGTCCATCGTCTTTTGTGTTAAATTTTTATATGTTCTAATGTTAATTATGTTTAAATGAAAATGTCCATGAAGATGGTCTTAAATAGACCGAAACGTCCGACGGCGACTTTATATTAACATTAATACAGCATAATTGCATGTTAAAATTTTTGTTTGTTTTTTTCTGTATTTTTTCTTCATACTGTCGGATCTATATCCATATATTTGCTTACACACACACACACACACACACATATATATATATATATATATTTATTTATCTACGTCTCTTCCTTATCTATTTATCTGTATATATATATATATATATATATATATATATATATATATTGTTATCTATCTTGGTCTGTGACTATCTCTGTGTCTATCTAACTATTTATCTACATATGTCTGTTTATTATCTATCATTATATATATATATATAATGATAAATAATATATAGATAGATAGATATACATATATATATATATATATATATATATATATTCATATCTATCTACACCTGCTTTTTCTTATCTATCTATCTATCTATCTATCTATCTATATATATATATATATATATATATATATATATATATATATATGTATATTCCTATCTATCTATCTATCTTTTTGTTTATTATCTATCATTATATATATATATATTTATATATATATATATATATTTATATATATATATATATATAAATAAATATATAGATAGTTAGATATGAAATATATATATATGTATATATATATATATATATATATATATTCATTCATATCTATCTATTTATCTAAATCTGATCTTTATCTATCTATCTATCTACCTATGTATATATACATACATACATATATATATATATATATATATATATATATACATACATATATATATATATATATATATATATATATATACATACACACATATATATATATATATATATATATATATATATATATATATATATATATATATATATATATATATGTTCCTATCTATTGGTCAATTCCTATCTATCTATACAACTTTATTTGTTCTTATTTACACTATTTATATTCGGACAATTGCCCTCATCTTAGTTGTTGTTACCACAAAGTTTCGTGCGTTCTGCCTCCCACGCTGTCTTCTTCAGCTGTATGTCAGTATACAGAATTCTGAACGGAATCCTTTATTTAATCTAAGAGTGTAGATTGTTCCCGTTCTACTGCTCATGTCTATAGTTAACATCTAGTTCTTATTACAGTGAAATGAAAACAGTCTGACTCCTTAGATTAAATTAAGTGTTCAGTCTAGAATTTCCTGTAGATTAACCAGATTGATATAAACCCGGGGGAGGTCAGAGGGCAAAACGGCCGAAACGGTGTTATATCAACAACAAATATGAGGACAATAGTCCGAATATAAATAGTGTAAATTATGACAACACTTTATCCCAGACAAATATCTAGTTGGTTTTATCTATGAATTACAGTTTTTATCCTAAATAAAATTTGTTTCAGTTTGTTCGTATCCGTGATTAAATGTTCTCTTGTAAAAAAAAAAAATGTACCCAACGAACATTATATACCTGTTAATTGATTTTAGTGTTTTTGTGCCTTTTTTGTGTATAAGATGTCATTTCTACGCTTCGTTATACACATCTCAAGAATTTATTATTATTGTTAAAGAGTTGTTTTTTCTCAGCTGTCTAAATCTCCTTAATAGATATGTATTAAATATGAAACTAATTTCTCATCTATTTGAGCAATCTGTTCACAAAATATGTGTCTAATAAGCAAATAAATGTACAAAGAACATATGCATGTAGGATTGTTATTTAGATTGTCAATGTGAAACTTATGTTGTAGCAACTTATGGTGCAGCTTAATTTATACAGTTCAGACAATGATTCAAACCTCCATGAAAATAATGCTGGCAACTTTTGCATCAGCCTAATACCTTAATGATTTAAAGGCAAGTCTTTCATTTAACCTAAAAGTTTTTTTTTCTTAAGATCAAAGATAAATGGAAATTTCTCTCTCTCTCTCTCTCTCTCTCTCTCTCTCTCTCTCTCTATTTATTGCCATGGTGATAATGAGTCATATTCTGAACATCTCTATTGATCACCATTATTATAAATCACATCTTGCTTTATATCTTAGCAATAATTATTTAAAATAACATGGTCCTTATGCTTGGACTTCACACTGATGGAAGAGAATCATGTGGAACTTTTTATCTTTATTCCTTTCTTACCAATGATAATACTTTAATTAATTCCATTAAAATAAAGATTTGGTATTATTTTGTTATATTAATCTATTCACAACAAGAATGAAGAGAATGAAAATGGAAAACCATTTATATTTAATAATGAACCTTAGTTCTCAAGAAACTTGGTTCTTCCAAAATAGATATATCATGTTACATTCTACTACAGGCAACTAGATTGCTATGTTCTATAATAGGTCGATGTTAATGTTCACTCATTAACACTGTATAAACTGATATAGGGATCTAGGTGACTGTATAGGCTCCAATTGGTGATGAACATATAATATCATTTCTGCATTTTGGTAAAAACATCTCAGGAGAATTTTCCAGATTTCTTATTGTTAAAGAGATTTCTCAGCTGTATGAATCTCATTAATAGTAGCAAATGTAATAAATATAAAACTAATTTCTTATCCATTTGTGTAGCCTGATCACAAAATATGCATCTATAAAATACGCATATATGATTATTGTTTATATTGTCGGTGTGAAACTCGTATTGTTATTGTGAAACGGCATACTTTGCACAGGGCTGACAATGATGCAGATCTATATGGGAAAAAAAGTTTGTACACCGCTGTTATATGGGAGAGAAAGGCTTATTTCAGAAGAAAAATCGACTTTCCAAAAAAACTGGAGATACATGAAAAAGGCCTGATAGTTCAGCAATCAAAATGCAGTAGTGAAAATGAAATCTACAAAGACGAGGAAATTGGTCAACATGAATTCTTAATAACAGCAGAGTCAATGTTTACAATTCCAGTGCTGAATTCATTTCCCAACTCCGTTCGTGACGTCAATGACTTTGCTGTTCCCTATTGTCTTACAGGGAACACACACTATCTCATCTCATTGACTTGTTGAGAACTAATCCACCAGATCATTAATCCTTTCTTTTTCATATGTTGTCTTTCCATTTCTATTTAGATCACTCAATCCTTTCTTTTATAATTCTTCTCTTAGAGATTACAACCATATCACGTTGAAAGACCAGTTCACGTTAGCAACGTCGAAACTCCTAAGTAACAAGATGGGTGACTGCTTCAGAATACCAGGTGTTGTAAAAATGGATGTGTGGCTGGTGTTGATGGATCATGGCTCGGAATTGAAAACCGGAGAGCTGAGTTCCAATTCCATTTGGGGTTCGTTATATTCACTTACGCGCAAATACCCCTGGGAATGGTACGGGTCCCACTCGATCCAACCAGCTCTGGAATAATTAGTAAAACTTGTATCAGTAAATCATAATTATCTTTTAAAAATATTTACAATCTAAAAATATGTTCTGGCTTTAAATAGCCAGAAAAAAAGATTGATAAACGGTAAAAAGCAAATCAATCAATTTCTTGTTTTAGTCCATTCTGTTCTCTAGCATTCTTATACGTGTGCTTCTCTCTTTTATTTGTGCTTCTCTCTCATACGTGTGCTTCTCTCTTAGACGTGTGCTTCTGTCTTTTATGTGTGCTTCTCTCTTTTATGTGTGCTTCTCTCTTTTATGTGTGCTTCTCTCTTATACGTGTGCTTCTCTCTTTTATGTGTGCTTCTCTCTTTTATGTGTGCTTCTCTCTTATACGTGTGCTTCTCTCTTTTATGTGTGCTTCTCTCTTTTACGTGTGCTTCTCTCTTTTATGTGTGCTTCTCTCTTTTATGTGTGCTTCTCTCTTATACGTGTGCTTCTCTCTTTTATGTGTGCTTCTCTCTTATACGTGTGCTTCTCTCTTTTATGTGTGCTTCTCTCTTTTATGTGTGCTTCTCTCTTATACGTGTGCTTCTCTCTTTTATGTGTGCTTCTCACTTTTATGTGTGCTTCTCTCTTTTATGTGTTCTTCTCTCTTATACGTGTGCTTCTCTCTTTTATATGTGCTTCTCTCTTTTATGTGTGCTTCTCTCTTTTATGTGTGCTTCTCTCTTATACGTGTGCTTCTCTCTTTTATGTGTGCTTCTCTCTTTTATGTGTGCTTCTCTCTTAATTCCATTGTTTCTCTGTTTTATGTGTGAATCTGTTTTATGTGTGCTTCTCTCTTTTTTTGTGCTTCTCTCTTTTATGTGTGCTTCTCTCTCTTTTATTATGTGCTTCTCTTCTTTTATGTGTTCTTCTCTCTTATACGTGTGCTTCTCTCTTTTTATGTGTGAACTTCTCTTTTTATGTGTGCTTCTCTCTTTTACGTGTGCTTCTCTCTTTTATGTGTGCTTCTCTCTTATATGTGTGCTTCTCTCTTTTATGTGTGCTTCTCTCTTTTATGTGTGCTTCTCTCTTTTACGTGTGCTTCTCTCTTTTATGTGTGCTTCTCACTTTTGTGTGCTTCTCTCTTTTAACTTCTTCTCTCTTTTATATGTGTGAACTTCTCTCTTATTATAGTGCTTCTCTCTTTTATAGTTTTATAACTTCTCTCTTTTATGTGTGCTTCTCTCTTATTATAGCAACCCTTAGACACGTGCTTCTCTCTTTTATGTGTGCTTCTCTCTTTTATGTGTGCTTCTCTCTTTTATGTGTGCTTCTCTCTTTTATGTGTGCTTCTCTCTTTTATGTGTGCTTCTCTCTTTTATGTGTGCTTCTCTCTTATACGTGTGCTTCTCTCTTTTATGTGTGCTTCTCTCTTTTATGTGTGCTTCTCTTTATACGTGTGCTTCTCTCTTTTATGTGTGCTTCTCTCTTTACGTGTGCTTCTCTTTATACGTGTGCTTCTCTCTTTTATGTGTGCTTCTCTCTTTTATATGTGTGCTTCTCTCTTTATGTGTGCTTCTCTTTATATGTGTGCTTCTCTTCTTATATGTGCTTCTCTCTTTTATGTGCTTCTCTCTTATATGTGTGCTTCTCTCTTTTATGTGTGCTTCTCTCTTTTATGTGTGCTTCTCTCTTATACGTGTGCTTCTCTCTTTTATGTGTGCTTCTCTCTTTTATGTGTGCTTCTCTCTTATACGTGTGCTTCTCTCTTTTATGTGTGCTTCTCTCTTTTATGTGTGCTTCTCTCTTTTATGTGTGCTTCTCTCTTATACGTGTGCTTCTCTCTTTTATGTGTGCTTCTCTCTTTTATGTGTGCTTCTCTCTTTTATATGTGTGAACTTCTCTCTTTTATGTGTGCTTCTCTCTTATAATTGTGCTTCTCTCTTTTTATGTGTGCTTCTCTCTTTTATGTGTGAACTTCTCTCTTATTATAGCATACTTCTCTCTTTTGTTTTATTCTCTCTTTTATGTGTGAACTTCTCTCTTTTATGTGCTTCTCTCTTTTTACGTGTGTTTCTCTCTTATATGTGTGCTTCTCTCTTTTATGTGCTTCTCTTATCTCTTTACGTGTGCTTCTCTCTTTATATGTGTGCTTCTCTCTTTTATGTGTGCTTCTCTCTTTTTTATAACTGCTTCTCTCTTTTATGTGTGAACTTCTCTCTCTTTATAGTGTGCTTCTCTCTTTTATTTGTGCTTCTCTTTTATATGTGTGCTTCTCTTTTATGTGCTTATTATAGTGTGCTTCTCTCTTTTTTTTTATGTGTTATTCTCTCTTTTTTATATGTGTGAACTTCTCTCTTTTATGTGTGCTTCTCTCTATTGTGCTTCTCTCTTTTATGTGTGTGTCTCTCTTTTATGTGTGAACTCTCTTTTATGTGTGCTTCTCTCTTTTATGTGTTTTGTTCTCTCTTATACGTGTGATTCTCTCTTTTTATGTGCTTCTCTCTTATACGTGTGCTTCTCTCTTTTATAACTGCTTCTCTCTTTTGTGTGTGCTTCTCTCTTATATGTGTGCTTCTCTCTTTTATGTGTTTTTTCTCTCTCATATGTGTGATTCTCTCTTTTTATGTGCAACTTCTCTCTTTTTTATGTGCTTCTCTCTCTTACGTGTGATTCTCTCTTTTTATGTGTGCTTCTCTCTTTTTTTATGTGTTTCTCTCTTATACGTGTGCTTCTCTCTTTTATGTGTGCTTCTCTCTTTTTTATGTGTGCTTCTCTCTTTTATGTGTGCTTCTCTCTTTTACGTGTGCTTCTCTCTTTTTTTATGTGTGCTTCTCTCTTTTATGTGTGCTTCTCTCTTTGTGCTTCTTTTTGTTTTATTCTCTCTTTTATGTGTGCTTCTCTCTTTTATGTGTGCTTCTCTCTTATACGTGTGCTTCTCTCTTTTATGTGTGCTTCTCTCTTTTATGTGTGCTTCTCTCTTTTTTATTATAGCTGCTTCTCTCTCATTATGTGTTTCTCTCTTTTATGTGTGCTTCTCTCTTATATGTCTGATTCTCTCTTATATGTGTGATTCTCTCTTTTATGTGTGCTTCTCTCTTTTATACGTGTGATTCTCTCTTATATGTGTGCTTCTCTCTCTTTTATGTGTGCTTCTCTCTTTTACGTGTGTGCTTCTCTTTTTATGTGTGTGAACTCTCTCTTATACGTGTGCTTCTCTCTTTTATGTGTGCTTCTCACTTATACGTGTGATTCTCTCTTTTATGTGTTCTTCTCTTTTATAACTCACTTCTCTCTTTATATGTGTGAACTTCTCTCTTTTATGTGCTTCTCTCTTTTATGTGTGCTTCTCACTTATTTTATGTGTGAAATCTTTTTTATAGCAAACTTCTCTCTTTTATGTTATAACTTCTCTCTTATATGTGTGAACTTCTCTCTTATATGTGTGCTTCTCTCTTTTTTGTGTGCTTCTCTTTTATGTGTGCTTCTCTCTATACGTGAACTTCTCTCTTTTTATGTGTGCTTCTCTCTTTTATGTGTGTTTCTCTCTTTTACTGTGCTTCTCTCTTTTATGTGTGCTTCTCTCTTTTTATGTGTGCTTCTCTCTTATACGTGTGATTTCTCTTTTATGTGTGCTTCTCTCTTTTATGTGTGAATCTCTTTTTACGTGTGCTTCTCTCTTTTATGTGTGCTTCTCTTTTTTTTTTCTCTTTTATGCTTCTCTCTTTTATGTCTTCTCTCTTTATGTGTGTTCTCTTCTTATGTGTGCTTCTCTTTTTGTGTGCTTCTCTCTTTTATGTGTGCTTCTCTCTTTTTATGTGTGCTTCTCTCTTATTATGTGCAATTCTCTTTTATGTCTTCTCTATTTTATTTCTTTTATTCTCTTTTATGTCGTGTGCTTCTCTCTTTTATAGTGTGCTTCTCTCTTTTATGTGTTCTCTCTTTTTATGTGTGCTTCTCTCTTTTATGTGTGCTTCTCTCTTTTATGTGTGCTTCTCTCTTATTTTATGTGCTTCTCTTTTTATGTGTGAACTTCTCTTTTATACGTGTGCTTCTCTCTTTTATGTGTGCTTCTCTCTTATATGTGTGCTTCTCTCTTTTATGTGTGCTTCTCTCTTTTATGTGTGCTTCTCTCTTATACGTGTGCTTCTCTCTTTTATGTGTGCTTCTCTCTTTTATGTGTGCTTCTCTCTTTTATACTTCTCTTTTATTATGTGTGAACTTCTCTCTTTTATGTGTGATTCTCTCTTTTATGTGTCTTTCTATGTCTGTGCTTCTCTTTTATGTGCTTCTCTCTTTTATGTTTTTATGTGCTTCTCTCTTTTATGTGTGCTTCTCTCTTTTATTATGTGCTTCTCTCTTATACGTGTGCTTCTTTTTTTTTATGTGTGCTTCTCTCTTTTATGTGTGAACTTCTCTCTTTTATGTGTGCTTCTCTCTTTTTATGTGTGCTTCTCTCTTTTATGTGTGCTTCTCTCTTATACGTGTGCTTCTCTCTTTTGCTTTATTTTATTCTCTCTTTTATGTGTGAACTTCTCTCTATACGTGTGCTTCTCTCTTTTTATGTGTGCTTCTCTCTTTTATGTGTGAACTTCTCTCTTTTATAGCAATGCACTCTCTTATGTTTCTCTCTTTTTATAACTCTTCTCTTTTATGTGTGAACTTCTCTCTTATTATAGCAATTCTCTCTTATCTGTTTAGTTTTATGTGTGCTTCTCTCTTTTATGTGTGCTTCTCTCTTTTATGTGTGCTTCTCTCTTAATTCTTTTGTTTTATAACTTCTCTCTTATATGTGCTTCTCTCTTTTATGTGTGCTTCTCTCTTTATTGTGCTTCTCTCTTTTATAACTGCTTCTCTCTTTATATGTGCTTCTCTTTATTCTCTTTTATACGTGTGCTTCTCTCTTTTTGTTTTATCTCTCATCTTCTCTCTTTATGTGTGCTTCTCTCTTTTTATGTGTGCTTCTCTCTTATATGTGTGCTTCTCTCTTTTTTATATGTGCTTCTCTCTTTTATGTGTGCTTCTCTCTTTTTTTTTATGTGTGCTTCTCTCTTTTATGTGTCTCTTATTCTCTCTTTTTTATGTGCTTCTCTCTTTTCTTTATATGTGTGCTCTCTTTTATGTGTGCTTCTCTCTTTTTTGTGTGCTTCTCTCTTATTTGATTCTCTCTTTTATGTGTGCTTCTCTCTTTTATGTGCTTCTCTTTATATGTGTGCTTCTCTCTTTTTATGTGCTTCTCTCTTATACGTGTGCTTCTCTCTTTTATGTGTGTTTCTCTTTATATATGTCTGAACTCTTTCATTATGCAACTTCTCTCTTTTTTGTTTTTTATAACTCTCTTTTATGTGTGAACTTCTCTCTTATACAATGCACTTCTCTCTTTTTGTTTATTCTCTTTTTTATGTGTCTTCTCTCATACGTGTGCTTCTCTCTTTTTATGTGTGCTTCTCTTTTTTTTATAACTGCTTCTCTCTTATATGTGTGATTCTCTCTTTTTATAGCAATGCTCTCATAATGTGCTTTTGTTTTATAACTGTGCTTCTCTCTTTTATGTGTGCTTCTCACTTATAATGTTTCTCTTTTTTATGTGTGCTTCTCTCATATGTGTGCTTCATCTCTTTTATGTGCTTCTCTCTTTTATGTGTGCTTCTCTCTTATACGTGTGCTTCTCTCTTTTTGTGTGTTCTTCTCTCTTATACGTGTGCTTCTCTCTTATAATTGCTTCTTGTTTTATGTGTGTTCTCTCTTTATATGTGCTTCTCACTTTTATGTGTGCTTCTCTCTTTTATGTGTTTCTCTCTTTTATAACTCTTCTTTATATGTCTTCTCTCTTTTTATAGTGCTTCTCTCTCTACGTTGCTTCTCTCTTTTATGTGCTTCTCTCTTTATGTGTGCTTCTCTCTTTATTATAGTTTGCTTCTCTCTTATACTTTTGCTTCTCTCTTTTATAACTGCTTCTCTTTATATGTGTGAACTCTCTTTATACGTGTGCTTCTCTCTTTTATTTTTCTCTCTTTTAACTGCTTCTCACTTTTATGTGTGCTTCTCTCTTATATGTGTGCTTCTCTCTTTTGTGTGTGCTTCTCTCTTTTATGTGTGCTTCTCTGTTATACGCTTCTCTCTTTTTTTGTGCTTCTCTCTTTATGTGTTCTCTTTATACGTGTGCTTCTCTCTTGTGCTTCTCTTTTTGTGTGCTTCTCTCTTATACGTGTGCTTCTCTCTTTTATATGTGTGCTTCTCTCATTTATGTGTGCTTCTCTCTTATATGTGTGCTTCTCTCTTTTATGTGTGCTTCTCTCTTTTATGTGTGCTTCTCACTTATACGTGTGATTCTCTCTTTTATGTGTGCTTCTCTCTTTTATGTGTGCTTCTCTCTTATACGTGTGCTTCTCTCTTTTATGTGTGCTTCTCTTTTTAACTGTGCTTCTCACTTATATGTGTGATTCTCTTTATGTGTGCTTTTTCTCTTATATGTGCTTCTCTCTTTATATGTCTGAACTTCTCTCTTATGTGTGCTTCTCTCTTATACGTGTGCTTCTCTCTTTTATGTGTGCTTCTCTCTTATACGTGTGCTTCTCTCTTTTATGTGTACTTCTCTCTTATACGTGTGATTCTCTCTTTTATGTGGGCTTCTCTCTTATACGTGTGATTCTCTCTTTTATGTGTGCTTCTCTCTTTTATGTGTGCTTCTCTCTTATACGTTTTCTCTCTTTTTGTAACTTCTCTCTTTACGTGTCTTCTCTCTTTTATGTGTATTTCTCTCTTATACGTGTGCTTCTCTCTTTTATGTGGGCTTCTCTCTTATACGTGTGATTCTCTCTTTTATGTGTGCTTCTCTCTTATACGTGTGATTCTCTCTTATATGTGTGCTTCTCTCTTTTATGTGTGCTTCTCTCTTATACGTGTGCTTCTCTCTTTTATGTGTGCTTCTCTCTTATATGTGTGCTTCTCTCTTTTATGTGTGCTTCTCTCTTATACGTGTGCTTCTCTCTTTTATGTGTTCTTCTCTCTTATACGTGTGCTTCTATCTTTTATATGTGCTTCTCTCTTATTATAGTGCTTCTCTCTTTTTTGTGTTTATAACTTCTCTCTCCTATTTTATATGTCTTCTCTCTTTTATGTGTGCTTCTCTCTTATACGTGTGCTTCTCTCTTTTATAACTTCTTCTCTCTTATACGTGTGAACTTCTCTCTTTTATGTGTGCTTCTCTCTCTATACGTGTGCTTCTCTCTTTTATGTGTGCTTCTCTCTTATGTCTGTGCTTCTCTCTTTTTTATAGCTTCTCTTATATGTGCTTCTCTCTTTTATGTGAGCTTCTCTCTTATATGTGTGATTCTCTCTTTTATGTGTGCTTCTCTCTTTTATGTGTGCTTCTCTCTTATATGTGTGCTTCTCTCTTTTATGTGTGCTTCTCTAATTTATGTGTGCTTCTCTCTTATATGTGTGCTTCTCTAATTTATGTGTGCTTCTCTCTTATATGTGTGCTTCTCTCTTTTATGTGTGCTTCTCTCTTATATGTGTGCTTCTCTCTTTTATGTGTTCTTCTCTCTTATATGTGTGCTTCTCTCTTTTATGTGTGCTTCTCTCTTATATGTGTGCTTCTCTCTTTTATGTGTGCTTCTCTCTTTTATGTGTGCTTCTCTTATCTTTTACGTGTGCTTCTCTCTTTTATGTTTCTCTCTCTTATACAATGTGTGCTTCTCTCTTTTATGTGTGCTTCTCTCTTTTTATTTGTGCTTCTCTCTTTTCATGTGTGATTCTCTAATTTATGTGTGCTTCTCTCTTTTCCTCATGTGCTTCTCTCTTTTATTTTGCTTCTCTCTTTTATATGTGCTTCTCTCTCTTTTGTGTATTCTCTCTTTTATTTGTGCTTCTCTCTTTTATTTGTGCTTCTCTCTTTTATGTGCTTCTCTCTTTTATGTGTGCTTCTCTCTTATACGTGTGCTTCTCTCTTATACGTGTGCTTCTCTCTTTTATGTGTGCTTCTCTCTTTTATGTGTGCTTCTCTCTTTTATGTGTGCTTCTCTCTTTTATGTGTGCTTCTCTCTTATATGTGCGCTTCTCTCTTTTATGTGTGCTTCTCTCTTATATGTGTGCTTCTCTCTTATACGTGTGATTCTCTCTTTTATGTGTTCTTCTCTGTTAAACATTTATTATTTGTCCCTTTTTATATATATATATATATATATATATATATATATATATATATATATTCATGTTTCATTAAAAACCACATACAAGGTACTACGGTTAAGCTTTTTATTTATTTTTTCTTGTGTTCGCACAAGAGCTTAATTTTTGGGACCCAAAGTATCTAGAAATTGTACAAATATTCTATAGCTCCGAGCGCTTTCACCGATACTTTTAGCCATTATCAAGGATGATTTTATTTATTTAGATTATTTGAGTTTGGGCGTTATTAAAATTCAAATCTTAACCGTAGTACCTTGTCTGTCATTTTTAATGAAAAATGCATAAATGAAGTTTTGCTGCCTAAATACACAATATATATATACATATATGTGTGTGTGTGTGTGTATAGAGAGAGGGGGGAAGAGAGAGAGAGAACATAGATATGAAGAAAATGGAATGGAATAGATAGATAGATAGATAGATAGATAGATAGATAGAGAGAGAGAGAGAGAGAGAGAGAGAGAGAGATAGATAGATTTTATAGAATTAATTTTCTCATTTTGAAGTTATTCCTCTAATTGAATTTGTTCCCCGTAGATTTGAAATTCTTTGTCTGGGTGCCAAATGGCTCCTGATTGAGTATTTCTGATTTAGACGTTGGCAAACATTGTTAGAAACATGTAAAATTAGAGAAAAGCGTTTACTTCGCCCTTTGTAAACTTTCCTTCTTCAAATGTAATCAGTTTTACAAAGCAAGGATTTCGCAGCGTGTTGTCGAATTAATCATGGACTAGGCGAATGAAGTATGGCAAACCATTTCGAAAAGAATTTACTGAAAATAAACTCTTTCTCTCTATTTTATTTATTTGTTACTTTTCGTCAAATATAATTCTAGGATTAATCGAAACTCTGTTGAGTCAGTGAAGGAAAAAAGGTGACCGAGTACTTTTCTGCTTTATTCAAAAGCAGAGGTTAGGATTTACGTAAAAACTTCATTCACTCTAATGATTATATTACCTATCTCTATACATTATATTTCTAGACATTACATATCTAGACATTGCATAACATATCTATATACATTGCATATCTAGATATTGCATATATATATATATATATATATATATATATATATATATATATATATATATATATATATATTACATTAAATGAATCATTCAAACAAAATTTTAAAGTTGCATTAACCAACGAACCACTTGATGTATGTTATGATCCTTGTTTATAATTAACTACAAGCTGTATAAGGTCTTTTTTAGTAATCTGCAAGTACTTTCACGTTAATGGAACTTTAAAATTTTGTTTGCGAAATGTTTTCGCCATTTTATATCATTAACTTAACTAATCTACTTTTTGTATGAATAATTCATTGTAATATAAATTGAACTGCGCCACATATTTTATATATATATATATATATATATATATATTTTCCCCTTCCTATCCGAATTGTCTGTGGTGTGTATATGTCACCACGAAATGTATCTTTATGTATTAGACATCTGTCGACTTTCTTTCTCTCCTCTTTTAAATCCACCCCACCCACATCTCCAAAAATTCTCTCTGTTAAGGTTTCATGTCACTCCTCCTCATACTTACACTTTCTCTAAATTCTGTTTTGATTTCCATCCTGTTTTTTTTATGTTTTCATTTTGAATTTGTAGGTCTGATGATTTGGATCGTATTTACGATTCCAATGGAATAAATTATGACCATGGAATATTAGTGTTTAAGCCTTTTTATTATTATATATATATATATATATATATATATATATATATATATATATATAAAACCTGGCTCTAGGGTAATAAAAATAATTAAAGAGAAAGTTTGTTGTAACCTAGGGAAGGTTACTGAATAGAATAATCAAACGAAGTTTGGTAATGAACGAAAATACTTTAGACAAGAACAACACATATAAGATTCGCCAGCGGCGCGTAGTAGGCAACTGCTAGAAGAGAGTCAAGTGAATTCCACAATGAATCTCCAACTGCAGGATATCCGCCAACCGCCCCATGCAGTCAGATGTGGCACAAGGACGAATTTAATCTAGGTCATCCTCGCCCGTACACTTGGTCAAAATTTCCTCGTAGACCACGGAAAAAACGGTGTCGAGCCTCGTCTGGGGGTCTTCTCTGCCCGGAGGCGGAGAGTTTTACCAGCACAGCGGGAAACAAATCTCCAACTCTAGGATATCTACTAACCGCCCCACGCGGTCAGATGTGGTACAAGGCCGAATTTAATGTGGGGTATCCGAGCCTGTAGGTTCGGCCAAAAATTCCCCGTACATGCCATATAAAACGGGGTCGATAGCTGTTTCCCAAGACGAGACTATGCCCTTCGACATAGCCTCGCCTGTGGATCCTCTTTGCGCAGAAAGAGAGAGTTTGGCCAGCACAGCTGGAGACGAATCTCCAAATGCTGGATATCTACGAACCACCCCACGCGGTCAGATGTGGCAAAAGGCTGAATTTATCGTGGAGTATCCGACCCTGTAGACTCGGCCAAAAATTTTCCGTAGACCTCGTAGACGAATCTCCAACTGCAGACCAACATACAGTATTTACTACTGTATTTATGTGAATGGGGATATACACATTATCGTCCGTAGGTATGCTACAACAAAGTTTTATGTTACTGCCAACTACATTTTAAACCCTGTTTGCGCTATGCAAAGATTTCGGATTTTCTTATCGCTGCCCACTTATTTTACCTATACTTCACTAATTTTAAGAATTTTGTTCTGGTAGAGACAAAAATTGGTAATGAAAACATGGAGGTTAGTATTTAGTTTGTTAAATTTAAATATCGGTCAAAATACGAAACCGAATTCATTCTTTCAGGAAGTATAAATAGGATATACTGTTATCAGTTATTCGTTACTTATTTTCGGATATGCAAATCTTGTACAATCTCACATTTTCAAGATAGAAATAAATGTAAGATATATAGAATAAAGCATTTTATGATTATTTTCCAGTAGATTGAAGAAATTTCTATTGATATAACTTTCTTCACAAAGAAATTAGAATTTGCCATTTGAAAATTGTAATCGCCACTTTTCTTTATTTTGAAGATGTTCAGAGAAACAAGCTTTACAGAAGAAAATATGGAAGCACATCTCATGGATGGAGGAAAAAGCTACATGGACAGAGAAGCAATTCAAGAAGGTAGTGTCCTCTAAAAAGAAGTTCAATTTAAATGATCCCCATAGAATGCAATGTTCATAGCACGATTATTGTATTTTATTTCCAGTCATCCCTT